AAAGTGGACATTACCATTGTTACATAGTCACTATTCCTTAAAATATTTATGTTGAAAAAATTTTTTTGCATAAATATTTAACCCTTGGTATATTTTGTCTGGTCTCCAGTATTTTCTTGTTATCACATATCAACTTATTTTCTACAAGATTCCTGATGTAGCATTGCCAAAAATTCCCTGGCTCCATATTAATTCTACAGCTAATGAAGATTTGCCCAAAAGTTCATTCCTCCAACCATCTGCATTTTATCTTTTAGTTCTTTAGGAGAATAATCTCATTATATAGAACTTTCATTCAATAACAAACCCTCATTAATTCCCTTTCATTTAGCAGGTTATCTGAGTAAGTTTCTCAAATGTGATTAACATCTGAAATCATTGGAGAAAAGTTACCATTCGTATGTTCTTGGCCAACTCCATAAAACCCAGGGGTTTTCTGCAATTCAAACTGGATACATCTTAGGGATGTATGAAATGAGGATTGCTTGATGAGGAAAAGGGGATTTTTTTTTTTAAAGGTTTTATTTATTTATTTGACAGAGCCACAGCGAGAGAGGGAACACAAGCATGGGGAGTGGAAGAGGGAGAAGCAGGCTTCCCGCTGAGCAGGGAGCCTGATGTGGGGCTCGATCCCAGGACCCTGGGATCATGACCTGAGCAGAAGGCAGACGCCCAATGACTGAGCCACCCAGGCGCCCCGAAAAGGGGATTTTTAATGAAAAATTTAACAGCCTTCATTTTACTGGGGATCCATGAGCATGTTTCAACTCTTAAGTATAACATACCTCCTATTATCTCCTCAAATCTTACACATTCCAGCTTTCATTCTAACTAAACAACTTTATCTGATAGTTCATTGAGAAAATATAATCAGATAAGAACTCCTTTTATTCTTCCCATATTTTCAGATGTGCTTGCACTGATGCTTACATTCTCTTCCTTCCTGTTCAGATAAAATAAGCCAGTTCCTATCAACCACCAGCTGGGTCATCTATGCAACAGCTCATCTTCTCTTAGCCACTCAAATATTGTGTACTGAAGTTACCTTACTGGGGCATTGCCATCTGTTTATAAACATACTCTATATATTCTATCTTTAATAACAAACCAAAAATAAAGAACCAAAATCCCTTCCTTAATCTCACATCTGCCTCAACCTGACTCACTTTGGGCTTCCAGCAAGATATTTCAAGTAATCTATACTTGCTGTCACCTCTTCCTATCTTTGTTCACTATCTAACTCAGTCTAATAGTGATAAACATTTATTGAGCATTTATTATGTACAGAGTACTAAGATTTTCTTTAATGTTAATTATTTAATTACAACAACTGTATGAGATGATGCACTACTGATAAGGCAACTGAGGCACAAATGTTACAAAACTTGCAGAAAGCCTCAAAAATAGTAGCAGGGGCGCCTGGGTGGCTCAGTCGTTAAGCGTCTGCCTTTGGCTCAGGTCATGATCCCAGAGTCCTGGGATCGAGCCCCGCATCGGGCTCCCTGCTCAGTGGGAAGCTGCCTCTCCCTCTCCCACTCCCCCTGCTTGTGTTCCCTCTTTTTTTTTTTTTTTTTAAGATTTTATTTATTTTATTTGACAGAGAGAATGAGAGAGAGAGCACATGAGAGGGGGTTGGGTCAGAGGGAGAAGCAGACTCCCTGCCGAGCAGGGAGCCCGATGCGGGACTCGATCCCGGGACTCCAGGATCATGACCTGAGCCGAAGGCAGTCGCTTAACCAACTGAGGCACCCAGGCGCCCTTGTGTTCCCTCTCTTGCTGTGTCTGTCAGATAAATAAAATCTTAATAATAATAATAATAATAGCAGGTAGGCTGATAGCAGAGCCATACTCTTACCAATTTATCCTATGCTGCTCAATCTGGTTTAGGACCCCACCAGTCCACCAAACAGCCTTTTCAAAAGGTCTACAATGGCCTACATATTGCCAAACTTAAAAGACATCATGTGCTCACCTTACTCAATTTTGTAGAAGCTATCAACAGAATGATTATCTTTCTTTCTTGGCTTGAGACACCAAACTCTAGATATCCTTTCTCCTTAGCACAGGAGATTGGCCACTTTTCCTTTTTCTACATGGTTCCTAAACATCGGAGTGCCAAGGCTCCAAACTAAGCTTTCTTGTTTTCTCAAACACATACTTTCCCGGAGTGATCTTATCCTATCACCTAACACTATCTAAAAGGTTGATTCCAAAGTTAGTGAGTGGTCTCCTCTTATTTCCACATAGCATCAAACAAGCTTTTCAAATCTAATGTACCCATAATGGATTCTTTTCCCTCCCGAAATGCTTCTCCATAGCCTTCAACATTAACCAGTTATACGTTTAAGAAGTTGGCATTGTGCTTGAGGTCTTCCTGTTATCATGCACCTCAGTAAATCCTGTTAGCTCACCTCCAAAAAAATCCAGATTTATCCATTTCTATCTCCAATGAAACACCTCGTGTCAGTGATTATTCAACTCTTAAATGGTCACCCTGCCTCTACTCGTTCCCATTTCAATCCACTCTTCAAAAGCATCAAATGATCAAGTGTCAAAATGTTAGTCGTATCACTGCCATACTCATTTTGATTCTCATTGCATTTAATAAAATCCAAGCCTTTGTTCAACACAACGTCCTATGATCCTTACATCTTATGCTCCATGTCTGTATCTTCAACCACATCCCACAAAACTTTCCCTTCCTACTAGTGCATTATTTTCCTTGTTTATCACAAAATAAAAAATGTAACAACTCCCCACCCCCAACAAGAGCACTAGTAAAATCTCAAAAGGGGGGCGCCTGGGTGGCTCAGTTGGTTGGGCGACTGCCTTCGGCTCAGGTCATGATCCTAGAGTCCCTGGATCGAGTCCCGCATCGGGCTCTCTGCTCAGCAGGGAGTCTGCTTCTCCCTCTGACCCTCCCCCCTCTCATGTACTCGCTCTCTCTCATTCTCTCTCAAATAAATAAATAAAATCTTAAAAAAAAAAAAAAAATCTCAAAAGGGCAGCAGCATGTTGTCTTGATACTGTGTATCTAATGTCTAGCATGTAATAGGTGGTAAGCAAGTATTTGTCAAAAAAGTTTGCAAAAGGGGCACCTGGGGGGCTCAGTCGTTAAGCTTCTGCCTTCGGCTCAGGTCATGATCCCAGGGTCCTGGGATCCAGTCCCGCATCGGGCTCCCTGCTCAGCAGGAAGCCTGCTTCTCCCTCTCCCACTCCCCCTGCTTGTGTTCCCTCTCTCGTTGTATCTCTGTCAAATAAACAAAATCTTTAAAAAAAAAAAAAAGAAATACAAATTCTCAGCTCCCACTTCAGATTTACTGAATCAGCACCTCTGGAGGTAAAGCTCAAGCAGCAAGCACTTTCGGTGACTCTAATGTACACTGAAGTTTAAGAATCACTGACTTTGATGAAAACACTGGGGGAAAAAAAGTAAGGCTAAATAAATGCCAGCTTATGTTATCACTACTTTGTAGGACAAAATCACATTTAACTTTGTTATTCATTGGTGGAAAATAGTAACATTACAAAGCCAGTTTTTTTCACAAAAAAGCTTGTGTTGGAGCTAGTATTTTAGACACAGAACACCTTAAATTTGAAATACATATGCAATCAAGGAAAGCAAAGAAAGTGTTGCTTACCGTAACAGACACAACTAAGGAATACCTTAAATGGTAGATTAAGGTTGACCGATAATTAGGACATTTTAGAGGTTTTTTGTTGTGCTTGGGGTAAATAAAGGAGACTGTTTAGTGGCCCTTACATGGTTTGGGTATTATAGAAGGTATTTATCCAGGCAATGTGGGATTAACCAAGATTTATCTTACAAATCTTGTCTAATGATTCAGGTGTCCAACTGTCAAGTCCCTTACCAATTAGAATGAAGTAAGATAGACGTACTTGGGGGTTCAGATCACCCACCTCCTGACATGCTGAGTAATAACAATTCTGAACTTCAGATTCAATTTTCCTCTATGGGTCAATACAACCAGTTTTGCTCTGTGGGGGAGGAGTCCTAGGCCATAGCCAGTGAACACATAAGGCATTCCCCTGGTTTTGTCTTAGGGTCAGGCTTTAATTACTGTTGACTCCAAAGCTGCACAAACAGGAGCAGAGTTAAGAGTTAAGTGAAGCAAGACAGATTAAAGAGAAAAAAATACTTTAGGAAAATGTTTTAGGACTAAAATCTTATATACAATATTTTTCTTAACTGGCAGGTGATAAAATGGAGGCAATTTTAAAATGGTGTACAGGGGCGCCTGGGTGGCTCAGATGGTTAAGCGTCTGCCTTCGGCTCAGGTCATGATCCCAGGGTCCTGGAATCGAGCCCCACGTTGGGCTCCTGGCTCGGCAGGGAGCCTGCTTCTCCCTCTCCCTCTGTCTCCCCGCCCTGCTCATGCTCTGTGTCTCAAATGAATAAATAAAATAAAATGGTGTACAAACATGCGGTATAATTCCTCAGTAGATTAATATAGAACAACCTTTTTAAAAAAGGGGGGTGGGGGACTTCATATTAAAAAGGACTAAGATTTGGGGTGCCTGGGTGGTTCAGTTAAGCACCCGGCTCTTGATTTCAGCTCAGGATATGATCTCAGGGTTTGGGGATGGAGCCCAGCATTGGGCTCTACACTCACCTAGGAGTCTGCTCAAAGATTCTCTCCCTCTTCCTCTGCACCCCGCCACTCTCTTTAATAAATAAATAAATCTTAAGGGGGGAGGGGAGACCTGAGCTGAGCTCATTGTTGGAAGCTTAACCAACTGAGCCACCCACGTTCTCCCAAAACTTAAGCTGTTCTCATGAAAATGTACAGGACAGCAAAATTGGTATTCCAAAATCAGTTTATCTGAAAAAGACAAGTTATATGAAGTATGTGCATGTACACTTACTGAACTAAAAGTTCTTAAAAATTTCTAAGCTCAAATGGTATGTTGCAAAGTAATGTTAGAAATGTAAAGACAGACCATACAGTGCACACCATAACATGTAAAAATAAAACAGATTTGGATTATGCTGTCATTTTTAATTTTAATAAAATAGATAATTTCGTATTACATAGAGAGCAAGTCCATCCACTCATTATTGATAAAATTTTAGAAATATTTTCTATAAAAAGTTTAGTACTTGATTGGGAATGAATCCATTAGAACATGATTTCTACAGGTACAGTGTTCCCATCCTCACCCCCATTCTTATTAATTTTGAGAAAATTTAAAAATACAGAAAAGTACAAAAAATAAGACAAGATATCCATATACCACAATCCAGAATTATCCAGTATTTTGATATATTTACTTGCAGTCTTTTTTAAGAGAAATGGATGTTTATATATAAAATTGAAGTCCCTTTAAACAGTCCCCATCCCATCCCTCCCACACTCATCCCCTTTCCCTTCTCCACTCTTCACAAGCAACCACTATCAAGAGTTTGGTCTGTATCTTCCAATCCATTTCAAAAACATTTTAAAAACATACATACATATATGTATCCATTACCAATACATAGTACTGAATTTTGTGAGAAAAGTTTTAAAATTTACAAAAATGTCATTGTAATATATGTGTTATTCTGCAACTTCATTTTCCCCCTTCAACATGATTTTTGAGATCTTTCTCTGTAATACATGTAGATCTTGCTTGTTAAATTTTACAGATATACAGTCTTTCATCATTAAGTATTTTCCATTTTGTTCCCGATGGGCATTTAAGTTGTTTCCAACTTATGGCTACTACAAATCATGCCACAGTAAATAGACTGGTATATATTTCCTAAGCATACAAACTCAGAATTTCTAGGTATTCTTAAACTTGTTATAAGGAATGTTTCCCTACTCCCAAGGTCATAACCATTTCAGTATGTAGCTTTTTCATATTCCTGTTTTTATCTTCTTGGATCTTACCTTGGTGTATATATAGTTCATAGTTTGTTTTTTTCCTTGGAGAACAGATTACCTCCAAATCATTGTTTACATAGTCTCATTATCTTCTCACCTCCCATTGCCATTTCTATCATAGTCTAAATTCTAATAAATGCATAGGTGTTTCCAGAATCTCTTCTGTTCTGCTAAATCAATATAAAAGTCTCTTCCTTTCCAAAACTTACAACTTATTTTTTTATTACATTGGTGAAAATCTCCAGATCTATGCAGACAGCAATAAGAAGCATGTTTCCCATTCCCAATTTTAGTGGAAATGCATCTAAAGTTTCAGCATTACCTGCACCATCAGCTTTTTTGTTGGGTGCAGGATTTTTATCATACAAATGTCTTTCTCTTCAGTATAAATTCCCTGGTGTCCAGGACGTTTTTCGCTTTTGTTTTCCTCATTTGTGATACTTTCCTTGAGCATGATTATTTCTGATGTGCTACGAGGCTTAAATTCTTAGTCAATGCTTTCCAATTTTTAAGATATTTACATGGTTTTTAATGAGTATGAATTTTCTGATGTCTAATGTGGTGTGACTTCTGGCTAAAAGCTTTCCCACATTCACTACATTGATAAGGCTTCTTACCTGTGTGTATTCTCAAATGCAGAGCAAGGGTTGAGAACTGAGAGAAAGCTTTCCCACACTCATTACAACCATAGGGTTTCTCACCTGTATGGCTTCTCACATGCACAGTAAGAGATGAACTTTGAGAGAAGGCTTTTCCACATACATTGCATTCATAAGGTTTATCACCTGAATGAATTCTCACATGTACAATAAGCGATGTTCGTTGAGAGAAGGCTTTTCCACATTCATTACATTCATAGGGTTTCTCTCCAGTGTGAATGTTTTGATGTTTTATGAGGTACTTCTTCTGGCCAAAAGCTGTTCCACATTCACTACATTTAAAGGGTTTCTCTCCAATATGAATTTTCTCATGCTCAGTAAGGTTAGACTTGCCACTGAAGGTTTTTCCACACTCCTTACATACAAAAGGCTTCTCTCCCGTGTGAGTTCTCTGGTGTCTGATGAGGTTTGACTTCTGAATGAAAGCTTTCCCACAATCCTTACACTCAAAAGGTTTCTCTCCAGTGTGAATTTTCTGATGGGTAAGGAGGTTTTCCTTCTGGCTGAAGGATTTTCCACATTCATTACATTCAAAAAGCTTCTCTCCAGTATGGGTGTTCTGATGTTTAATGACATACTGCTTTTGGCTAAAGGCTTTTCCACATTCATTACATTCAAAAGGTTTCTCTCTATTATGAAAATGCTCATGCTCGGTGAGATTTGATTTGTGGCTGAAGACTTTCCCACATACCTTACAAGCAAAGGGGTTTTCCCCACTACAAATTCTCTGCTGACTGAGGTGTGACATCTGAATGGAAGCTTTCCCACATTCACAAGGTTTCTCTGCAGTATGAATTTTTTGATGAATGAGGATTTACTTTTGGCTGAAGGTATTTCCACATTTCTTACATTTGAAGGGCTTCTCTGTGTGTATGACCTTTCAAATGTAAAGGGATAAAATTCAAGAGAAAACTTTATAATACACAGTACATTACAAGCTTTGTCTCCAAGTATAAATTTTCTAATGCTCAATGAGGTTTTGTTATATTCACTGGTTTCTCTCCAGTAAAAGTTTTCTTCTGCTCAATGAGATCTGTCATCTAGCTAAAGGCTCCTCAGTATTCCTTAGAACAGGGTTTCTCTCCAGCCTGACTTCTACATTTAATGAGGTGTGACATGTGAGTGAAAGTTTTCCCACATCAGTAAATTCATAGGGTTTCTCGCCAGTATGAATGCTCTGTTTTCAGAAAGCGTTCAAACTTTTTTAACTAAGGCATTTCCACACTGACTTACACTTAAAGGGGGTTATTACCATAAAGAATAAGCTGTGGCAGGATTTCCAAACTAAATGAAGTTGATGATTCCTTCCTACACAACTTCCCTCATGATTATAAGCTAAACTGTGTTTCAAATTCTTTCTAGGTAAGTTGAAAAAGATGTTGCCCTTAAAAGATATAATGTCTGAGATCAGAGGAAGTATTTTTCCAATTTTCTTATATTCACTGCTTTTTGTTTTTCCTCAGTCTTTACTGGAGATGGATGCAACTTCCTTCCCAAGTCTTGTTGCCTCTCTAGCTGCTCATCATCTTCTCAGGCTTCTTCTAAAATGGAGTACAAAGAATCATCATTTAAAGGAGCGAATGTATAAAGTGCTTAGTACTGTGGCTGACAAATGGTAAGCACTCGATAATGTTAGCTTTATGTTACCATTATTTATGAGTTTTCCCATTACTAGTAATAAAATTTTGGATTGTGCTTTTGGGATGAACTCTGGAAGCCCACCTCACAGTATGAAAAAATCCTCATGACCAATGTCACCAAATAACTTTTGAGAAGGAAACGCTTGTGGAGGATATCTGCATAGAAAATTAACATTCACGGGCACACAGAGCTTAAGGATTACTCTTGAAAAATAACCTTTCCCATTTCTTAGTTCAGCAAACTGAATGTAACCAACAATGAGGAATTAACAAGTAGGATAAAAAGATGACATAAAATTGAGAAAGTCTCCCAGGATGTCTAAGAAAAGGAAAGGAATTAACCAACAACTGCTTCCTTCCAAAACTCCAATTAAAGACAAGAAAAGGGAAAATGGTACAAGCTCACAAGAAAAAATGGACAGGACTAGAGACATCAATACACACAGACATTAACAAATTTCCTGATAACATAAGAGCACACAAAAGATTTTCAACACAGCAGAGCTGAGGAAGTTTAAGTATGTAAAGATACTGCAGAAGATGCCAATGTCAAACCAATTTATGCCACAAAATATCAGAAAGACTAAGGAAATGAAGGGAATCAAGTACCTCAAAAGAAGGAATAAAGGATGGTAGCTGAAAAAAAGATTATATAAAGTGCAGTTGGAGCACTACCCTCCCAGTAGGACGACTCCTTTGTAGGAAATGGAAATTATTCTTTGCAGAAATTTAATCAGAGAAGCTCCAGGCTCAGGGACATCCAGTAAGAGATGATAAGGGAGAGGTGCTACACTGAAATCAATGGGATTAAATCTGTACATAATATGGTGAGCCCTCCAGGACAGTCTGTAGCTCATGCCAAAAAGGGTTGGCCTTCGTAATATATACCTGTGAGCAGGGTATGAAAGGCTCCTTCTCTGAAAAACCTGAAAAGCCCATGAAAAAACTCAGTAGATACCCCTCCAAGATGTTATCTGTCATCTGTACTCTCTCTCTCTCTCTTTTTTTTTTTTGGACCAAAACAAAGGACCTGGACACATCAGGGTTTGTGTGGGTAAAGCAGTATAATCATTCTGTGGAGACCCTGGTCCATAAGGCATTCCCCTCCCCCACTTTTTTAAGATTTTATTTTTAAGTAATCTCTACACCCAGCATGGGGCTTGAACTCACAACCCCGAGATCAAAAGTCACAAGCCCACCAATTGAGCCAGCCAGGCACTTTTTTTTTTTTTTTAAAGATTTATTTGAGAGAGAGAGAGAGAACGAGTGGGAGGGGCCAAGGGAGAAGGAGAGAATCTCAAGCAGACTCCCTGCTGAGCACAGAGCCTGACACGACCTCACTGGATCTCACGACCCTGAGATCATGAGCTGAGCCAAAACCAAGAGTCAAACACTTAACCAACTGTGCCACCCAGGTACCCTACCCAATGGCATTCTACTTTTGATTCACTGAAACCTACCAGATGACTAGAAGCAACCAGGCATGAAAGAACTTGTGATCACCTTTTAGTGGATCAGTCTTAAATATGGTCGCAGCCAATATTTCAAACACATTTGAGGAACCCCTACTAATAAGACAGATCAACATCAAAAGAAAAAATAAGAATGTCTGAGAAATATAGGTAAGGAACAATAAACAGCAACAAAACCTAAAACCAATCAGACAGATGATATTTTATCAGTGAAACAATAATCTGGTTCTATAAGCAAGAAACAAAAAGTTCCTTTGAAATTAAGATGGGGAGTGGGAAGTTAGACTGTATTATTCACTAATTAACAGGGTCCTCTTACTGGAGAAGGATTATAGTACTTCACCCTAGCAAACTCAGGCATGGCCAGCTAACCTGTTTGGCCAATGAAATATAAGCCCAAGTGACAAGTATTTCCCGGAAGAAGCTTTAAGAAGACAAATTCAGGGACACCTGGGTGGCACAGACGGTGGAGCATGAGACTCTTGATCTTGGGGTTGTGAGTTTGAGCCCCATGTTGGGTGCAGAGATTACTTAAAAATAAAATCTTAGGGGGCGCCTGGGTGGCTCAGTCATTGGGCAGCTGCCTTCAGCTCAGGTCATGATCCCACGGTCCTGGGATTGAGTCCCACATGGGGCTCCCTGCTCAGAGGGGAGCCTGCTTCTCCCTCTCCCACTCCCCCTGCTTGTGTTCCTGCTCTGTCTCTGTCTCTGTCAAATAAACAAATAAAATCTTTAAAAAAATAAAAAATAAAAATAAAATAAAATAAAATCTTAGGGGTGCCGGGGTGGCTCAGTCAGTTGAGTGTCTGCCTTTGGCTCAGGTCATAATCCCAGGGTCCTGGGGTCAAACCCCACGTTGGGCTCCCTGCTCAGTAGGGAGTATGCTTCTCCCTCTCCCTCTGCCCCTGCTCTCTCTTGCTCACTCTCTAACAAATAAAATCTTTAAAAAATAAATAAAAATAAAAATAAAATCTAAAAAAAAAAAAAAATTCAATGCCAGTTACTCAAAAAATTAAAAATAGGGGCACCTGGGCAGCTCAGTTGTTAAGCGTCTGCCTTTGGGTCAGGTCATGATCCCAGGGTCCTGGGATCGAGCCCTGAATCAGGCTCCCTGCTTCGCGGGAAGCCTGCTTCTCCCTCTCCCACGCCCCCTGCTTATGTTCCCTCTCTCGCTGTGTCTCTGTCAAATGTAAATAAAATCTTTAAAAAAAAAATTAAAAATAGAACTAACCATATTCACTTCTGGTTATACATCCAAAGAAAATGAAAACATTAAGTCAAAAAGATATATGTGCCCCCATGTTCACTGCAGCATTATTTACAACAGCCGAGTTATGGAAACAATCTAAATGTCCATCAATGGATGAACAGAGACAATGCGGTACACACATACAATGGAATATTATTCAGCCATTAAAAAGAATGAAATCTTGCCATTTGCAACAACATGGATGGAACTTGAGGATATTACAGTAAGTCAAAGAAGTCAAACACAATGTATGATCTCACTTATATGTGGAATCTTTTTTTTTTTTTTTAAGATTTTATTTATTTATTTGACAGAGAGAGACAGCGAGAGAGGGAACACAAGCAGGGAGAGTGGGAGAGGGAGAAGCAGGCTTCCCACCGAGCAGGGAGCCCGATGCGGGGCTCGATCCCAGGGCCCTGGGATCATGACCTGAGCCGAAGGCAGATGCTTAACAACTGAGCCACCCAGGCGCCCCTCTATGTGGAATCTTAAACAAACCAAGCTCATAGATAGAGAACATACTGATGGTTGCCAGAGGTGGGGTTGGGGTGTGGGCAAAATGGGTGAAAGGGGTCAAAGGTACAATTTCCAGTTATGAAATAAGTCATGGGGATGTAATGTACAGCATGGGAACTACAGTTAGGAATACCGTATTGCATATTTGAAAGTTGCTAAGAGAGTAGTTCTTAAATGTTCTCATCGGAAGAAAAAAAAGTTCTTTAACCATGTGTGTTGACAGATGCTAACTAGAGTTACTGTGGTGATCACTTCATAATATATACAAGCATCAATTATGTTGCAGTGGGTGGGGGGATGGGGTAATTGGGCGATGGGCATTAAGGAGGGGACCTGATGTAATGAGGACTGGGTGTTATTTGCAACTGATGAATCACTAAATTCTACCCCTGAAACTAATAATATACTGTATGTTAACTAGCTTGAATTTAAATAAAATCTTAGGGAAAAAAATATATTGTACATCTAAAACTAATATAATGTTGTGGGTGAATTAGACCTCAATAAATTTTTTTAAAAGACAAATTCAGAGCATAAACCAAGGTAACATATTAGCTGAGTGAAGTAAGTTCCAGAAAACAAAAGAACACTGATTAAATACTCAAAGAAAAACAAAACCAAAAAAAGCTTCCTCTCCTGTAAGCCATGAATCTCTAGACTTAAAGGGCACACTTAGTACCTTGCATGATGAAAACAAGATGCATACCTACATGTATCACCATGGTATTTCAAAAGAAAAAGAGGCCATAAATAAAAAAAAAAAAACTATTATATATGTACACACACACACACATATATATCACCCAACTACACGTAGATATGTATCACCGAAAGGAACAGGAATCAGAATGTCACCAAATTTCTCAACAGAAAAACGAGAAGCTAAAAAAGACAAAACTCTGAGGGAAAATTCTAAGCTTAGCCTACCAATCTAATGGGACAAAGCCATTTTTCAGGTATGCAAATGTTAAAAAATTTTATCTCAATGCACCTTTCCTCTCAGGATGCTACTAGATGAGCTCCACCAAATTAGTAGGCAGAGAAGGTGATACAGAATCCAAGAAAGGGGATAAAGCATGGGGAAAACAAATGAAAAAAAATCTTTGATAATGTTGATGAAAAACTACAAGATAAGAGCTATCAGGTCAAAGTACAGCCAGTTCTGACTGGGGCAGAAGGACAAAAATTCTACAGGTAAATCTCCATGGGGAAAAAAAATTTCCCAGTGCATTTGACCATGTGGAAACTAGTATTTAGAGAGCTTTTAACTATTCTATGGAGTCTGTGCTAAATACAGAAAACCAAGGAAACAAAAGTATGACAAATATAAATTCCATGAAAGAAAAAAAAGTATAATAAATAAAATTTTATACTACACAAATACTTCTGTTCTACATGAAAGGATAATAGTTGTCTCAAAAAGGTGTCTTAAATAAGTTGTGAGCTAAACTAGTCACTTTTTTCATGGAGCACTATTAATTTACTTCAATAAATTAATAAATGACTGCCTTACAAATTATGGTTATTCAGACTTGGGTATTATTTGGCAGGTACTTTCTTGAGACAGAACGAAGTGAGAATCATTTCAAGAAAAACAAAGAACAGTACATGTTGCCAACAATAAAATTTGAGTTTTCAAACAAAAATTAAAATTTTGGAAAATCTGTATCCTTCACCATGAGATTGATAGGTCCCAATACTTAAAAGACTTTGATATGGGGCGTCTGGGTGGCTCAGTCGTTAAGCATCTGCCTTCGGCTCAGGTCATGGTCCCAGGGTCCTGGGATCAAGCCCCACATCCGGCTCCCTGCTCAGCGGGAAGCCTGCTTCTCCCTCTCCCACTCCCCCTGCTTGTGTTCCCTCTCTCGCTGTGTCTCTCTCTGTCAAATAAATAAAATCTTTAAAAAAAAAAAAAAAAAAGACTTTGATATGTTAATATTTGAAAGATCTGTATAACTTAACTGACCAATACATGATGTTTCAAAAGTCATGCATGGGCAAGAGACCCACTCAAATTTTAAGACAGACCAACAGATTTTACCTAAGAAAACAAAAAAATACAGAGTTTCAAATTCTATATTGCAGCTAATCTTGAAAAAATTATTTATCAGGTGTTAATGTAGTACCAAAGAATATCCACAACTATCTGAAAAGGCTACTGAAATATTTCTCCCTTTCTAACTACATCTGTACGAAGTCACAATTTTTTCATATACGTCAACCAAGATAACATGTTACAACAGCAGAAATGAGAAATCTAGCTGTCTTCTATTAAACCAGACATTAAAGATATAGATATGACAAACACTGACTCTCTTCTCACTAAACTTTTTCATTTTGAAAAATTATTTTTTTTTAATTTGTCAGAGAGAAAGACAGAGAGAGAGGGAGAGAGAGCATGAACAGGGGGAGCGGCAGGCAGAGGGAGAAGCAGGCTCTCCACTAAACAAAAAGCCTGATGTGGGACTTGATCCCAGGACCCTGGGATCATGACCCGAGCCGAAGGCACTTAACTGACTGAGCCACCTAGGTGTCCCTGGAAAATTATTTTTATTAAGAAATATAATTTAGGGGCGCCTGTATGGCTCAGTCGTTAAGCATCTGCCTTCGGCTCAAGTCATTATCCCAGGGTCCTGGGATCGAGCCCCACATCAGGCTCCCTGCTCAGCGGGAAGCCTGCTTCTCCCTCTCCCACTCACCCTGCTTGTGTTCCCTCTCTCACTGTGTCTCTCTCTGTCAAATAAATAAATAAAATCTTTAAAAAAAGAAAGAAAGGAAGGAAGGAAGAAAGAAATATAATTTAAGGGGCACCTGGGTGGCTCAGTCGTTAAGCATCTGCCTTCGGCTCAGGTCACGATCCCAGAGTCCTGGGATCAAGCCTCGCATCGGGCTCCCTGCTCAGCGGGAAGCCGGCTTCTCCCTCTCCCACTCCCCCTGCTTGTGTTCCCTCTCTCTGTCAAATAAATAAAATCTTTAATAAAAAAAAAAAGAAATATAATTTAAATTTACAAGTAATGGGATTATTATTTTTTAATAAATACACTTTTAAAAGTTCCTCAATTTTACTTTTAAATAAGGCAAATATCACTAAAGTCCACATAAACCAAAAGGTCTTCATGTTTGTTTATATATTCCATTGTGGTAAAACACACAACATAAAATTTGCCATTAACTATTTTTTTAAAAAGCCATCCAGGCGCCCCTACCATTAACTATTTTTTCCTTTTACTTTTTGTAATTGAGGTATAATTGACATAACATTATACGTTCTTTAGGTTCAGGTGTACGACAAGGATTCGATATTTGTATACACTGCAAAATGGTTACAAGTCTAGTTAACATCTGTCACCATACATACAGATCTTTTACTTGTTATGAAAATTTTTAAAATCCAGGTGGTCCTCAAGTTTTAAGAATATAAAGGTGATTGCTAATGGGTACCAAGTTTCCTTTTTGTGCGGATGAAAATGTTCCGGAATTAGTGGTGATGGTTGTGCAACTTGGGAATATACTAAAAACCACTGAATTGTATACTCTAAAAGGATGCATTTTATGTTATGTGAAGTAAATCTCAATAAAGCTGTCATTAAAAACAAAGTGGAAGTCTGAAAACTGCTACTCAAAACATTTCTCATTACTCATTCAACAAATACCTTCTTTCCTTACTCTGTGCATGGCACACTTCTAAGCTCTAGGGATAAACAATATTGACCAAAACTGACAAAATTCGCTGTCCTCATCAAGATTACACTATAGTGGACAGATAAATAAAGAAGATGGTTTGTTAAAAAGCTGTAACTGCTATGGAAAAAAGATCAGAAAAGGGTAGAGCTTTAATTTTAGATAGAGTGGCCTCTGAGAAGGCAAGATTCAAGACATAAAAGAAGAAAGTGATCCTTACAGGTATCTGAAGAAGAGCATTCTGAACAGATTTTAAAGAAATTCACCAGACCTGAGGAAGAGCCTGTCAAGCATGTTAATTATGCAATCAGTGAATCACAATTATGCATATTATGTTCCTCATGTCCTTCTTTGGTTTAACTTGACCCCTCCTATTTTTTGACCATCTTAGAATCTACAGAACCTCCTGAGAGCAGCTCCAATAACATGCTCCTAAAAAGGTTTCTCCAATCTTGTCTCTTACTTATGAACATCTTTCCCTGAACTTCTAATTACAATCAGATTCACTTTTCCTAAAATGTTTCATACTAAGTATCTTTAAACCGAATTTGTATATAGCTAAGTCTTAACATCCTAACTATAACCTGAAATGCTGGATTGTATTAGTCACTCTACTCTTTTCTTTGAATGGCTGATGGCAGAAATTTTTTAAATGCCAGGGGCAATACCATGGGAGAAAAAAGGAAGAGAGAGAACTTAGATTTTAAAGACTAAAAAGACAACAACCAAATCCAAAGTCTAAACCTTGACTGGATTCTGGCATTTTAGAAAAAGCTGTACTCCACACCGGGTATAGTTAAAGAAAAAAAAAAAAAAGAACAAAAATTTTTTAAAGCTATAAAAGTATTTTGGATATAAATGAGGAAATCTAAATATGGACTAATTATTACATATTAGGGCATTATAGCTAATCCATCTAAGGAGTAATGATATTTTGGTTACGTAGAATGATGCCATTATTTTTAGACAATGAATACTTAATTTTTTAGAGGTGAAGTGTCATGACGTTTCAGCACATACAAATATGCATACACAGGGAGAGACACATAAAACAGACATAGCAAAATAAGTATTGAATCTACATAGTGGTATATGGGAGAATGCTGTACTCTTCTTTCAGATTTTAATATTTGAAAATGTTCATGGATAAAAAACTGAAAAAGAAGAATTGATCAATAACAATCCTTCCACAACAATTCATAGATTAGTTAATAAGTATCTCATATTTAATCAAAACGGGAGACAGAACATGGGCCTTCTTTTCAACAGGTTATAATATAGACTCCAGATACCAAAATATAAAAACATGTAAGAAAACTTACTCAGGACTTTTGAATTTCCATGAAAATGTGAAACAGGATGGTCGAAGGGGAGATCAACAAAAGAGGAACATGTTTAAATGATAAGTAGGACCTGAATAGGTAGAACATTGCGTAATCAAAAGCCAAGATTCAAAGAATATTATAAAGAAAATACGTTCACATTTATATTCATGGTTAGTTAATATGTCCTCTCTTGATAAGATTAAAGTATATCTTTTTAAAGACTTGGCTGACCATATCTCAAAGATCATGAGAAAATAAATAATCCAGACATAATATGAAATTGGTTTTAGGTAATCTCTCTGGACCTGAAAATAATGAGCTGAAATCTCCAATTTGGGTATTATATTAATGACTTCAGTGATACAAAAAGAATGAAACAAATCAGACAGTTGTTTATCGTATAAACAGGTAAAATTATGGTGGGCAAGACAGAAAGGCTGGAAAAATAAAAACTGATACTATAGAGTTACTTCTAACTTCACAATAAATGAGTGTTGGGGGGCCTGGGTGGCTCAGTCAGTTAAGCATCAGCTCTTGGTTTCGGCTCTGGTCATGATCTCACGGGTTGTGGGATAGGCTCCGCACTGCACATGGAGTCCGCTTCAGATTCTTTCTCCCTCTCTCTCTGCTCCTCCCCACTTGCACTCAGGCACACACACACTCTCTCTCAAATAAATAAAATCTTTTTAAAAAATGAGTCTCTGGGATTTAATTTATAAAGAAAAGGAGGAAAGGCAGAATGCAGTGTTCTAGGAGCCACCTCCAGTGAGAGGAGAAAGGGGAAAAAAATAAAAGCAAAAGATAAGAAAACACTTAGAAAGATAAAGCAACATCTCAGGTCAAGGCACCAATCAAGCAGAAGTGCGAGAGAATTCCTACAGGGGTGACTCACACGACATAAATAGATCCTTTCTTCTAAAATGGGTAAAATAAGAACATCTCTGCCCACTTTTCACATCTGTGAAGGATAAAGAAAAACAGGGAAGAAAAAAAAAAGGGAAAACTGCATTGTTGAGAAGAGTAGGAAGTAGCTATAATTCTAAAATCTTATGAGGATAGTTAGCAGGCAGCTGCCATTGCTGTTTTTTTAGGAAGAGTTCTCAGGCACAGTGCTCTCCGAAAACATAAGGCACAGCCTCAGGGGCCAAATCATCACCTTGTTTCTAGTAACAGAATCCAGGAATGTAGGCTGGATACAGAAGACTTGGTGGACCCACCAGCATCCCTAAATGGTAGGGAAAGTAGGATGGAGCAAGGAAATACAGAGACACCATCAGTAAATAAAGAACTTACTAGTACGGCAGAACAGAAGGTCACAACTATCTCCCTAAATTCCTGACTTGTATATCTAACTGCCTATATGAATATGCACTTAAATGATCAGTAGACACGTCACAATCAACAAGTCCAAAACAAACCTCTTGATCTATCTCCCAAAATTCCTGAAGTCTTCCTATCTCAGGAAATGTTAACTCATTCTCTTCTAGATAAAACCCTGGAGTTATCAGTGTGATTCCTCTTCCTCTTATAAACAATACAACCTAAAAAATAAATAAATAAAAATAACACAGTCTATCAGCCAATCCTGTCAGCTATTTCTTTAAAATATCTTAAGAATCTGGGGCACCTGGGTGGCTCAGTGTCTGCCTCCAGCTCAGGTCATGATCCCAGGGTCCTGAGATGGAGCCCCACATCAGGCTCCCTGCTTTTCTCTCTCCCTCTGCCCCTCTGCTCCTCCCCCTGTTCGTGATCTCTCTCTCTCTCTCTTGCTTTCTTTCTCAAATAAATAAAATCTTTAAAAAAATAAAATATAAGAATATGACTTGTCACTAGCTCAACTACTACCATTTTCTTACCTAGATTACTGCAATAGCCTCTGATTAATCTCCTAGCCTTGGCCCCCCATACCTTATTTTCTATACAACAGCCAAAATATAATTTTGATCTTATCACTCCTCTGCTCAAAACCCTTTGATGGTCTCCCAAATCACTCAAAATAAAGGTCAAAGTCTCTGATTTGGCCTGTTACCTAACCAAACCTGTTCTTTTTCCTTTGTGCTCACTGTGTGCCAGCCTACTCTGCCCTGATCAGTATTTCTAAAATAGCAAGCTCCAGCCTCAGGGCTTTTAACACTTTCTGTTCCTTCTGGCTGAATGCTTTTCCATCAAATACCACATGCCTCACTTGCACATGCCTCACATCTTTTTTTTCAAACGTCATGCTTTTAGTGAGACCTTTCCCTGACCAACTCATTTAAAATTATAACTACCGGGCGCCTGGGTGGCTCAGTTGGTTAAGCGACTGCCTTCGGCTCAGGTCATGATCCCGGAGTCCCGGGATCGAGTCCCGCATCGGGCTCCCTGCTCAGCGAGGAGCCTGTTTCTCCCTCTGACCCTCCTCCACTCATGTTCTCTCTCTCTCATTCTCGCTCTCTCAAAAAAATAAATCTTTAAAAAAAAAATTATAACTACCAACTGGCCTTCTCTAAGCTGGTTTTCCTTGCTTTAATTTTTCTCCAGAGCACTACCACCATCTGATAGAACATATATTTTTACTTATTTACTCACAGCGTGTCTTCCTCAGGAGGGAGGAATTTTTGAAAACTTTAATCAATGACATCTCCTTAGTAACTGAAATGGTACCTAATAATATCATTCAATAAATACTTGTCAACTATATGAATATACCATGTCGAGAGAAATGTAAATTGGTTTACTACTTTTGAGAACATGCTTATTTCTGTCAAGTCTATAAATAAACATAACTTTGACTCAGCATTTCCACTTAGGATAAATCACTATATAGTTGTATCTGTACTACCTCTGCGAAACAATATAAATAAGTATATATGCACTTGTGTATTCAAAAGCATACGTCTGGAAACAACCTAAATGTCCATAAATAGGAGACAGGTCAAATAAAATGTGTTGATAAGAGTCCTTCCCAGAAAACAAAAACAAACAAAAACAACTATGGACCCAACAGAATACATACTACCATTTATGGACCCAACAGAATACATACTACCATTTATATGAAAAGGAAAAGTGAGGGCTTACATACGTATATATTCATATTTATAGCATAGATATATAATATATGCTGGTTTATTCACAGACTACCTCAAGAAGGCTACATGTGAAACTCTTAAAAATGACTGCATCTTTATATATATATATTTTTTAAGATTTTATTTATTTATTTGACAGAGAGCACAAGTAGGCAGAGTGACAGGCAGATGGAGAGAGAGAAACAGGCTCTCCGCTGAGTAGGGAGCCGGATGTGGGGCTCGATCCCAAGACCCCAGGATCATGACCTGAGCCGAAAGCAGCCGCTTAACGGACTGAGCCACCCAGGCGCCCCATGACTGCATCTTTAGAAAAAAATCTATAGGACTAAAGTAAAGAGTTAAGAGACTTTTTCACTGTACACCTTGATGTTCAACAATTTTTACAAGCTCATGTTATTATATTAAAAACCAAACAAAGACTCATAACATTTATATGCACATACAGCAGAAAAGGGCAGAACTGATCGCTAAGGCAACAACTTCTGAAAGAGGTATATGGGGGTGGAAGAGAAAGGGAGGCTTTGTTTGTTGATGTGTAATGGGGGAGAAGGTGGGATAAGAAGACAAGAGAAAGCATGATTACAGATGTAAAACATAACTCAGAGACATTTAACCACTGAAAGAATGAAAGAAGGTGGAAAGTAATAAAAAGGAACCTAAATGTCAGACAATATATAAAGACTTAAGACCTATAAAAGACAATGCATGGGAGGAAAAAAGTCTATACACATTGGGAGGTATGAGATGAGGGTATGAATGAAAGGGAGAACAATCACACAGAGGTAATACAAATAAAGTGTGAAGTGCTGACATCCAGAATGGAGATAAGAGGGGCATCTAAAAAATCTGATTAAATAATACAGTACTGAAGCAGAAAAAATCATGACTGTAAATGTAATCCAGGTATCTAAAGAATTCATACCAAGTAAATACTCCAAGTCTAGGGACTATAAGAAAACATCCCTGAGTATTTCAAAGGTATCAATGCTGCCTGAACAACTGTGACCTGCCTTGCCATTCACTCACCTGAACAAATTTCCTTTCCACTTTGTTCTCCACCATCCAGAGTGTCTTCTTATTCAACAGAGGATCACATACAGTTTGGTCAGTTTATAACCTGCTTTTGGGGAAATGACACAGCACTAGAATGTTAATGCTGGGGGCCAAAGTACCATCCTAGAACTCAGGCTGAGCCCTGGGGCCTCCAGGCCTTCTGAATGATGAGGCAGGTGCAGTTTCCAGGTACACAAGGAAGTAGCCCTGTGAAAAAGAACAAAGTAATGACCTTTTGCCTTAGAGATTAAAGCACACACAATTATAATAAGCAAAGGGACTAAGACTATCTGAAACCTGAATTTCAAAGCCATACCCATTAAACCATTTAAGTTTCCACACATCCAGAAATGGGGTAAAAAAGAATTATTTCTCAGAATTTCACTTACATAGGAAAGCTGTTCATACCTTACATGACTGGTTGCTACTGTTCTGTACCACCACATTCCTACATAGGTTCCTGAGTGGATTTTAACCATGGCCCTTATTCCTGGATGAATTTTTTTTTTTAAAGATTTTATTTATTTATTTGACAGAGAGAGAGATAGCGAGAGTAGGAACACAAGCAGGGGGAGTGGGAGAGGGAGAAGCAGGCTTCCTGCGGAGCAGGGAGCCCGATGTGGGGCTCGATCCCAGGACCCTGGGATCATGACCTGAGCCGAAGGCAGACGCTTAACAACTGAGCCACGCAGGCGCCCCTCCTGGATGAATTTAATACTCACATCTATGACAACAGCAGTGGATGCCTATCAGAACTAAGTCACGAGGATACAATGCATAGGAAATCATTCTTACAGTATTCAGGAATAAAGTTGCAAAAAGTTTTCCTGGAGTCCTAACATTTACTTTGTATTATAATCTGATTAAAACTATGTATTAGAAATGTCCTCTAGGGGCGCCTGGGTGGCTCAGTCATTAAGCATCTGCCTTCGGCCCAGGGTCCTGGGATCAAGCCCCACATCGGGCTCCCTGCTCCACGTGAAGCCTGCTTCTCCCTCTCCCACTCCCCCTGCTTGTGGAATTCCCTCTCTCGCTGTGTCTCTCTCTGTCAAATAAATAAATAAAATCTTAAAAAAAAAAAATTTTTAAGGACATTATTGGGACAACTGACAAAATTTGAATATGGATTTTGTATTAAATAGTAGCAATGTGTCAATGTTAAAAATTTTCTGATTCTAGTTACCATACTACGGTCATGAAAAACAATGTCCTTGTTCTTAGAAAATTCATGCTGAAATACTTATAAAGGAAGCATGTATTCAACTTAGTCTCAAATGGTTAAAAAAAATTATGCACACAAATATTTGGACAAAGAAAGAAGGAAAAATAAAGCAAAAAACCAAAACGTAAATGGTAAATTTGGGTAAAGGATATATGGGACTTTCTGAACTAATCCAACTTTTCTATAAAGTTGAAATCATATAAAAAAAAAAGCAAAATCCTAAAAACCTGAGTTACTACTTATACACATACACACTATCTACTATGTATGTTGAAAAAGCTTGGTCACCAATTTTTGTGCTGGGCTGTGGCAGAGATGGAGGGCTTAGAACATAATTTAAACAGTAACGTACACAGAAATAGGGGAGAATGAGTTGGCTGAAGACAATCTGCAGGGGAAAGGAGATCAAGTTTGATATTCTGGACATCCAGAGTGTCAGGTTTCTGAGTAACATGCAGGCAACTGCGCATATACATAAGGAGCTCAGAATAGGCCTAGGAAGCCCAGGAAGGAAATGGGAATTTATCAGCTGTGAGAATATCAGTGCTGCTGAAGACACAGGTGGAATGTGACTGTGACTGCTTAGAGAATATACACAGTATATGTAGAAGATAATCAAGGACAGAATCCTAGGAACACCCAACAGTCAAAGAGGCAAGGAAAGGTTTCAAAGGAGCATGGTGGCTGCTTAGTTTTGAATCTTTCAAGTACTTCTTCTGAAAACTATACAAAATATCAAGAATAATGGGGGTGGTGGGCAGCCAATACACACTCTATTATCTTTTGTAAAACTAGCAGAGAGAATACGTTCACTCTAAATTATATTAAGTGTAGCCCCAAACACCCAAAATAGTAGATATGGTGTAGGGACCACAACAGTATGGCAGGCACAGCAAGAAAGACTACATAATGGTGAACAGTCTTTGAAATAACAGATCTCAGAAATAATTAGCAAATATTCATTCTCAGAATGACAGTGTGTGAGAACTGCTGCAACTGAGTCTAATAATGAACAACAAAACTAGAACCAAAAACCCCTCCCAAACTCCATGTACCAAAGGCAGACCCACAAGTGGCCTAAACAGGAAGTTGCAAAGAAGCCTAGGAAGAACTGGGAATGCTTTGAGGGATTCTAAGAACTTAAGAAGCTCAGATTTGTGCAGCTAATATTTCTTTACTGAATGAGTAGGCCTCACCCTAAAGGGATCTAATAAAACAAGACCTAGATTAAACAAAAAAGGACTGCGGGGAAAGCAGGAGTATGCTTAAAAAGTACTTGGGAGTAGGGTGTCCCCAGATTTAGTAACTTCTAAAAGTGAATTTATCATTCTGGAAGGCAAGTACTGTGAAGAATTATGGGAAAACAGGGAGATGGGAGATAGAAGTCGGCTTCAACCAGGTTAGGGTGAGGAACTCATTTGCTTTAAACACTAGAAGAGGCACATAAACTCTGAAGCACAGAATGCTATTATGTTTCCTTTTTCCTGGTAATGGTCTCAAAAAAAATCTATCTCATGCAAACATGAGTAAACAAAATATTTTGTCTGTATCCATACAAAGATACTACAAGAAAAAGTGAAAGCAAACAGCATAACTTTCAAACAGCTGAGTAAACTCACATGAAAAATACTGCAACAAAGAAAAAAATGAAAACAATTAATTTTTAGAACTTTAAGAAGCAAGCAAAGCTATATAAAGAACACAATGATAAAAACAGACTCTTAACTATAGAGAATAAACTGAGGGTCACTGGAGGGGAAGTGGGTGAGGGAACGGGTTAAATGGGTATTAAGGAGGGCATTTGTTGTGATGTGCACTGGGTGTTATAGGTTAAGTGATGAATCACTAAATTCTACTTCTGAAACTAATATTACATTATATGTTAACTGGAATTTCAATAAAAACTTGAAATTACAAAAAATAAAAAAAGAATACAATGATAGAGAAACTAGGTGAAGAGAAGGTCACTCAAAAGGAGGGAATGAAAAGAAAGTAAGAATAGACATCTTGGGGTGCCCGGCTAGCTCAGTCCGTAGAGCATGTGACTCCTGATTTTGAGGTTCTGAGTTCGAGCCCCATGCTGGGTGTAGAGATTACTTAGAAATAAAATCTTAAAAAAAAAAGGATGGGGCACCTGGGTGGCTCAGTTGGTTAGGCGACTGCCTTCGGCTCAGGTCATGATCCTGGAGTCCCTGGATCGAGTCCCGCATCAGGCTCCCTGCTCGGCGGGGAGTCTGCTTCTCCCTCTGACCCTCCCCCCTCTCATGTGCTCTCTCTCTCATTCTCTCTCTCTCAAATAAATAAATAAAATCTTAAAAAAAAAAAAAAAAGGATGGACATCTTATTTTGTTCTGCCTGATTTTTTTTTTTAAAGACTGCAGTATTAGAGTTTGGGGGGATTTTTGTTTTCCTTGATTAATGTGATCTTTCCTGGTTGTTTCATCTGAGGCATAGCAGTAGCTTCAGCCTTAAACTTTTTGTTTCTACTCACATCCCCAGAGTTGCAGGCAGCATGGGTAATGTATATATAGGTAATCATAATCTATATCTGACCACAGAAGCCAACATCTTATCCAATGCAAAAACAAACACTGGAGGAGCTTCTATTACATTCTAATAAAATTAAGGATGCTGTCTCAAGTATTATATAATTATAAGCAATAATTCGGTAAATTAAGCTGGAAATAAAATTAATTTATAGATAATCAACAACTTTCCCATATACCACGACAAATGACATTGTTGTAAAACAGCAATAGAAAAAATAAAGTACCTAGAAATAAAGTTAGTAAGGTCTAAAACCTGTTATGAAAAAAAATTTAAACACTCCAGAGGACCCAAAAGGAAACTGGAACATATAAATAAAATACATATCATGTACATGGACAGTATTTAACATCATAAAGATCTAATGTCCCTTTCTCCTAAGTTATTGTATAAATTTCGTGCGATACCAATAAAAATAAGCTTTTTCCCCCGAGAACTAGACAAGTTAATTCTAAAGTTTATATAGAAAAATAAGTAAGCGGGGCGCCTGGGTGGCTTAGTCAGTTAAGTGGCTGCCTTCGGCTCAGGTCATGATCCCAGGGTCCTGGGATCGAGCCCCGCATCAGGCTCCTTGCTCAGCGGAGAGCCTACTTCTCCCTCTCCCTCTGCCTGCCTCTCTGCCTACTTGTGCTCTCTCTCTTTCTCTGTCAAATAAATAAATAAAATCTTTAAAAAAAAAAAAAGAAAAATAAATAAGCAAGGGGGTGCCTGGGTGGCTCAGTCAGTTGAGTGTCTGACTTTTGATTTTGGCTCAGGTCATGATCTCAGGGTCCTGAGACTGGGCCCCGCACACAGCAGGGAGTCTGCTTGAGATTCTCTCCCCCTCCCACCCTCTGGAAGCACGTACAAACGTGTATGCGTGTGCGTTCTCTCTCAAATAAATAAAATCTTGAAAAAGAAAGAAGAATAGCTAGGAAACTCTGAAAAGAACAAGCAATAACAGACTAGTTACACCAAAATTATAAAGATTCAATAACAAAAAGATAAATATTGGTATATGAATACAGGCTGGAAGATGGATGAGACTATGAAGTCCAGAAATAGACCAATACGTGTGAGAATTTATTATATGATCAAAATGGAATTTTAAAATAAACTTAAAAACAAATAAATAAAATAGTAAACTTAAGAACTTTTAATAAATGGAGTTGGAAGAATTGGGTAGCCAACTGGAAAAAGAGGATGCATGCCTAATATACACAACAGGATAAACTCTAAATGGACTAACATATAAATATAAAAATGAAACCCTATAAAAATTATAAGATTTGAAAGCACTGGTGAAGGCTTTGACTATAAATGATTGATAAATCTAACTACATGAAAAAAACCCACAAAACCCTCCTGATTCAACAGAATTTTTAAAAAAGAGGGGTGCCTGGCTGGCTCAGTCAGAAGAGCATGCAACTCAATCTCCAGGTTGTGAGTTCAAGCCGCACATTGGGTGCAGACATTACTTAAAAATAAAATCTTTAAACAAATGTTAAATATAAAAAATTAAAAAAAGAAAAATGAACACCAAAACAAATTTTTTAAACTTGAAAATAAAACTGCAACTCATTTTATATAGGGCTAACTTTTCTAATGTACAGCTACTAGAAGAAAATGGGACCCCCCACAGAAAAATGAGAAGGATATGAACAGACAGTTCCCAGATAAATACATGAAGCCCTTAAACATATGGAAGATAATCAACCTCCCTTATAAGAGATGTAAATAACACTACACTGAGATACCAATTTTCACTTATGCCTTTGGCAAAAAATAAAATAATAACACTATACTCTAATGGTAAGGTTCTAGCAGAGAAGGTGCTCTTGTACATTGCTAGTAGAGTGTTAAGTACCTAGCTATATGGGCAATTCCACTTACGGCAATCTAGAGATCCTCCTGCATAAGTCCAAAATGACACAGGTAAAAAATTATTCATTACTGCAATTAGTAACAGCAAAAGATTGAAAACAACCCAAATGTCCAACAACAGATGTCCAACAACTGAATCAACTATGGTAAACACACACAATGGCATCTTATTTATACAGCAGTTAAAAAGAAAAAAAAAATAATAATGATTAAAGAGATCTCCAGGACACATGGAAGAAACTATACTTGGCTGGGACAAAGAATGTGATGGGTGAGGGAAGCAGAATGAGATGTTATCACTGTGAGTTGTATTTCTTTTGTTGTTGTATCACATAAATATATAGTTTCTTTTAATTTTTTTGTTTTTTGGTTTTTTTAAGATTTTTAAATTTTTTTAAAGTAATCGCGATACTCAATGTCGGACTTGAACTCACAACCCCAAGATAAAGACCTGCATGCTCTACCAACTGAGCCAGCCAGGTGCCCCCATTAGTTAGTCTTTAAGTAATCAAATTCATTTTTTAAAAAGCAGTCCCTGAACTTGAAAACAAATGGAAACAAATGAACCCAACTATACATTAACTTGAGTAACAAAGTTCCCCAAAGAAAGGATTTAGACTTTAGAACAGAGAATTGACTGTACATCTTTAGTAGGATGCATTCTAGGGACAAAATAGCTACAAAGAAATATTTCATGTGATAAAGTATGTTCATGGTTACTGTTAATACCAGTAATGTTACTGTGAAACCACTTTCCTTATATTGAAAGATAAAACAAAGAAAATAAGCTTTTATGTTAACATGTTTCAAAATTTTTACTATGAAATACAATTAGGAGCTAATTATTAGATAAAAATATCATAAATTTAAATTGAATTAGAAATACTTATATGAACTCATGATTTTTAAAAATGGATTTTCTAGCTCTATCACCAAAATGCCTTGAAACAAAATTACTGCTGCAGCAATGAGAACGTCAGCACCCAGATCTTGGGCTCTAATACCATTCTCTAATAAAAGGAACCAGAGCTCCTTGGGAGAAATGGCAAATCCGAAGGCTAAGAGGGAAGGTAGAAAATGGGCCTGGAGTGCAAGAAGGTTTTCAAATTAAATGGCAGCAAGTCAAAATGAACTAGGAGTCAGACTGGAGGAATGTCTACCAACTAAAACTGTGGTAATATGAGTATCAGAAAGAAAACTAGTTTTAGTTACTAGAACACAACTTTATAATGATGCTTACAAGTCAGAAAAATTTGAAACAATTTGAGGTTTGCAATCAAATAAATGTAAAAGGAATTTTAAAAACTAGGAAATCACCACTTTCCAACCCTTAAAGAAGCTGATTTAGCCAAGGATTATTTATCAGTGTTGAAACCATCCATTAAATCAATGGGGAATGAACATTCATATGGTACCAAAGTAAATCATAAAGATTTCATTTTGGTCAAAAAGGGAAAAATATAATCACTAATGATATGTCTCTCCTGATGTTATGCAATTTGAAGATCATCTCTGATGTACTCTGGCCAAAAGTAAGTCACAGTTGGGATTTTTAAAAAACATGATCAGAGGTTCTGAATTACAACCATGAGAAAGTAACCACAGAAATCAAAGAACATTTTCATGAAAAAGATAATGATGGGTTTCTAAAGATGAATGTAACTTGAACACAGAAATCTTAACTTCCTCATTCCAGTTATAAAAGGAAATGTCAAAAAAAAAAAAGTTTAAACATGGAAATAAAAAAAGAACATCTATATATCTGAATCTTTCAGAAATATCTACCAGAAATAGTACAAATGGCTGTACTATTTCTAAAGAACTATTATTTTGCAGATAGTAATAATACTGCTATTTATCATTTATCGAGTACTTACTACATACCAGGCACTATTTTTTAGAACTTAGAACTCCTTACTTAATCTGCACAACCAACCACCCCATGAATAGATACTATTATTTTCTATTAGTAAATAAACAGGCATAGGTTTAAGTACATCAAGGTACAAAGTGGCAGACTTCTGAGTTAACGGCAGTCTGGCTCCATGGCCTATGTCCTCCTTAAAAACAAACAAAAAAACAAAACAAAACAAAACTTTAACTTTTAAATACTAAATTCATATACTTAGAAAACCAACATAAAAAGTTATTTGCCCAGGCACCTGGGTGGCTCAGGTCATGATCCTAGGGTGCTGGGATGGAGCCCCCCCCCCCCCCCACTGAGCTCCGTGCTCAGCAGGGAATCTGCTTCTCCCTCTCCCTCTGCCCCCCAACCCCCACGCGTGAATCATTCTCTCTCAAATAAATAAAATCTTAAAAAAAAAAAAAAAGCTATTTGCCTTTGCCCTACCTATCCCGGTACCACCACCCCAAACAGAGATAGCCACTTTTATTAGTTTCTTGCCTATCTTTTGAGTTTTCTAATGGAAACAAATACAAACATATATTATTTCTGCCTCTTCTTACTTCAAATGAAGCATACCATACATTTGGCATCTTGTTTTCACTGAACAATACATTTTAGAATTATTTCAGTGTCAATATACAAACAGCTTCCTCCTCATTCTTTTGTACACTTGTGTATTATTCTGTTGTATAGATGGACCTAATTTTATTAAATGAATCTCCCAGTGATGGCTAATCTTTACCTATATCTGCAATGAGCAACTTCATACCTACATCATTTCATGCAAATGCAGGTACATTTGTAGGATTAATTTCCAGATGTGAAACAGTCATGCCAAAAAGAAAATACATTTGTAATTATAGATGTTGCCTGCTTCATGCTAACACCAATACGATTTTAATTTCTAAGGATTTATATTTTAAAATACATTACCACTAGATGGATGGATCTAGAGAGCATAATCTTAAACTAAATAAGTCAAAGACAAATACCATATGATTACACTGATGTGGAATTTAAGAAACAAAACAAACGAACAAAGGGAAAAAAAAAAGACACAAACCAAAAAAACAAGACTCTTAACTACAGCGAACAAACAGATGGTTACCAGAGGGGAAGTGGGTGGGTAGGGGGATGGGTGAAACAACTGAAAGGGATTAAGAGTACACTTGTCTTGATGAGCACTGAATAATATATACAGTTGTTACATTACTATATTGTACACCTGAAACATACAATGCTGTATGTTAACTATACTGGAATTGAAAAACAAAAAACAAAACAAACAAAAAAAACATTAGCGCTGGGCTCCCACCTCCCCACAGCCAACTGCTTTTCTTTTTCAGTTTTACTGGCTATTCTAGTTTATTTCTCCATATGAGGTGCATAGTCAGTTTATCTAATTCCCCCACTCCCCCCCAAAAATTGTAGATACTTTTATTACGATCACATTGAATTATTAAATTTATTTAAATTTGCACACGCTTTATGACGTCTTCCTATTAAAAACATGGTGTATCTAATTAATATATTATTCCTCTCAGCACTTTTTTTTTTAAAGTTCTTTTCTAATAATTTTGCATACTGTTTCTCCTTTTTTTATTGTTACTGTAAATAGTTCTCTTCTATTATGTGTTCTGGCTGTTGTTTATTTGGAGACTGTTGATCTGTAAATATTAAATTGGCACCCAATTACTTTAACTCTTATTATTTAAAATTCTGTTAGGGATGACTGTGGGGATTCCTTAAAAAAATCATCTTTGTAGAAGGAGTAACGGTCTTTATTACTTCACAAAATCCATTCAACTTGGAAACACCTCGATTCATTTAGGAGTCAGACACCTAGAAACTAGGTCAGACTAGTAAATAAACATTGCCAACAACTAAATTTTCTTCAAAGAACGAAGATAACCGTACCTAACCTGGAACTCCAAACCCTTGACTCTAATCCTGGGCTTTCTGTGCTATATGACGCTGTTGCTCAAAGTGCAACGTCGGCATTTAATCTAGGACTTAACAGCAGCCCTATTAAAATACCCTGAAGATCAGGAGATTTGAGATCGTCTCAAGCTCCCCCACGAACAAAAAGTGCCTTCGAAATAGTCTTGCTTGCTTAAAAAAGAAGAAACCACGGCGATCTGCATTCTACTCCAATTAAAAGTAAATGTGTTTTTATATAAAAATTCACTTTTAAATCAGTTCTCACTTAGCTTTTTCCCCCCTTCAAATAAAAAACACTCCACGAAGATGGCACCGTTATTATCAGCACTTTCGACAAGCGAAGTGCGGCTCAGATATTATTACCTCAGTGCTAGTCTCCTACATCTCCCTCTCAGATGCAGCCATACACAATCCTGCACCCAGTTTCTCACTCAATAATCCCGACAACCAGTCAAACTTACGGACAAACTCAGGGTCACACACGCTGGAACCCTCCTCAGAAACCCCCACCCCCACCCCACATGTAGGCCAGAAGCTCTTAAACCCACTCCTCATCCTCGCGCCGCGCCCCAACAGATCCAGAATCCTCCCCTTCAACCTCCCCGACCCGACCGGCCCAAGACGCCCACATCCCACCTCCTACTTTCGCGCCACGTGGACCCAGGGGCCGGACTGACCCGCGGACAAAGACCAAAATGTCCACTCGGCGCGCTGCGCCTGCGCACTCCGAGGGCGAGCGAGCACTCCCAGAAGTCTCCGCGACGCGGCCCGCACGGTCACCGTGGCCAGGCCCAGGCTTGTATTTGATTACCTTCTGTCAACAGCAACGCCGCTTTTCCGGCCTTGAACTACATTTCCCTTAAGGCTTTGCTGGTCAGCACCCTGTCCCACACGAACTTGGCTGCCACTTCCAGTGATTATGGGGCTCTCAGGGTGAGTCGTCCTGCTTTAGAAGAAAATCAGCTCAAGCCTGGTGGGAGGTTTGGAGCAGGGACTACGTCTTTGAAGCTCCCCCAGGCGCAGTGTCAAACGGCCAAACTCAGGCTCTGAGGTACGAGGACGCCATCTTAGCTGTCTCTGGTCTGGCTCTGGACTACGTTTCCCAGAGGCCACAGTGGCTCGACGTTACGTCTTTCTTGACGTCGTGGCGAGATCGTTAGCTCCACAGGGACCCGGACGCGACCAAGGGGAGGCAGAAGGTGAGGGGTCTGGGAGTCCGGGGCGGGGACGGGGCGTGTCCAGAGCCTCCGGTCTGTGAGCGCTGGCGGGAGCCGGCTGAGGATGCCGGGTTGTGAATGAGTCTTTGTGGCTGCGTGACCAGGTGTGGGTGACTGAGTGTGCGGTTGTGGCCGCCTGGCTCCAGGGCGTAAGTCTGGTTGTGTTTGTGTAACCATGTGTGATACTGTGTGTTGGGGTGTGGGGTCCTTGCTACTGTGGGTGATAACTGCTTGTGTCTCTGTTGTGTATGTGTGACTGTACGCCTTGTTCTTGGGGGTGCGGGTGTCTGTGCGGTTATGATTCCATGTCTCCAAGGTGAGCGTATGGTTTGGGTTGCACAATATTATAGCCACGTGTATTGTGTGCAGTTGTGTGTCTGTGACTGTGTGGTGACGATGCGTGTGTATCCCTCTTGTGTCCCGTGGAGTGTGTCTGTGAAACGGTGGCTGTGTGTGGTGCTGTGTTTGTAAGTGTAACGTGTCTTTCTTTGCCTGTGTGAGTGTGACTGCCTCAGAGTCAATGTTCAATTATGACTGGTTGGTGTTGGGTGGTGGGCTGGAGTGCCAGTGATTATGTGTGTCCCCCAAGTGGGTATGTGATTGTGATTGTGTGAGACAGTTGTGGGTATTGGTTTGGAAAGGCTGTGATTATATGAGAGTAACTTTGCGTGTCATCGTGGTGAGTAAAATTGAGTAACTGTGTATGTCTTTTTAGTGGGTGTGAGATTGTGACTGTGTATAAGGGCCTGGAGGTGTCTGTGATTGTGTGGTTGTGTCCTTCTGTGTTTCAAGAGTGGATGTGTGGTTGTGTTTGTGTGACACTGACCATTTGTGTCCCACCAAGTGTGCTGATGTGAGGTGCCTGTGACTCCAGTATACTGACCTTTGCAGAACCTGTGAAGTTAGAACAGACTGTGGCCCTGGACAGTGATAGCCTCAACCTTTACCTGTGACACTGGGATTGGACATGATGTCCAGTCTTCTCTGACTTCTGTCTCCTGTGTGGAGATCAAAATGTTCTGCTTACTCACAATTCCTTTTTTTAAAAGTCTTCTCCAAGAAGATGTTGAGAGGAAAAGGAAAGAATTGCTATTGAACATCGAAAAGTTAAGCCCAAGATGCATCAGTTTTTCTTCTTTCCCTGAGACCCTTCTTGTTTTTCAGGATGTGCTTTTCTTTTCTTTTTCTGAAACTTCTTGCCTAACTTCTCCTCCCCCAAAGGACCTGGTCTCCAGTATATTGCCATTGGAGTAAATTATTGAGAGCCCTTTAGGTGAACTGAAAGGTCCATATACCCCTTGCTTCCTGCACACCTAATGTTCATTAAAATTTTTTTAACTTTTCGGGGCACCTGGGTGGCTCAGTTGGTTAAACGACTGCCTTCGGCTCAGGTCATGATCCTGGAGTCTGGGATCGAGTCCCTCATCGGGCTCCCTGCTCAGCAGGGAGTCTGCTTCTCCCTCTGACCCTCTCCCCCTCGTGCTCTCTCTCTCTATCTCATTCTCTCTCTCAAATAAATAAAATCTTTTTTTAAAAAAAAGATTATTTTGGGCGCCTGGGTGGCTCAGTGGGTTGAGCGACTGCCTTTGGCTCAGGTCATGATCCCAGAGTCCTGGGATCAAGTCCCACATCAGGCTCCCAGCTCAGCAGGGAGCCTGCTTCTCCCTCTGACCTCTCCCCTCTCATGCTGTTTCTCTCTCTCTCTCAAATAAATAAATAAATAAAATCTTAAAAAAAAAAAAAAAGAGCCTTTAAAAAAAAAGATTTTTTTTAACTTTTCATTTTGAATTAGTTTTAGACTTAAAACTCTTGCAAAAATAGAATTCCCATATACTTTTTTTTTAAGATTTTATTTTTAAGTAATCTCTATACCCAGCATGGGCCTCGAACTCACAAACCCAGAATCAAGAGTTGCACACTCCACTGACTGAGCCAGCCAAACACCCCAGAATTCCCATATATTCTTAACCTGTTTCCCCATTTTACCATTTTATGGTTATGTTTCCATTTTACATAATCACAGTACATGATCAAAACCAGGAGATTAACATTGATACACTACTACTAACTAATCTACAAACTTTATTCAGATTTCATCAATGTCCCTTAGTGTCCTTTTTCTGCACGAGGATCCAATCCAGGATCATATGTTGCAGTTAGTAAGTCTTCTTAGTCTTCTTTGATCTGGCACGGTTCCCCGGTCTTTATTTGTCTTACTTGACCTTGACACTTGTAAAGAGTACTGGCCATTTATTTTGTAAATTCTGCATTGTAGAATGTTCCCCAATTTGAGGTTGTCTGATGCTTCCTTGTGATTAAATTCAGAGTATGCTTTTGGGACAAGAATATGCCAAAAGTGATGTGTTCTTCTCAGTACATCATATCAGGAAACAAGAGGTCAATTTGCCTCATTATTAGTGGTAACTTTAATCACTTGGTTAAAGTGGTGTCTGTCCAATTTCTCCACTGCAAAGTCACTATTTTTCCCATTGTAATTAACATGTGTCTTGTGCAGAAATACCTTAAGCTTCTCATCTTACTTCCACCTGCAAATCTTAACATTCATTGATAATTTTTGCCTGAAAATGTTATTACAGGCTATTTGCCAAATGGTGATTTTTAAATTTCCATCCTTCCTTCTACATTTATTAAATAGGATCCTACTGTTAGGAGATTTTCCTTCTCCCCCACTTATTTACTAAATTATGTATATATAAATTGGATTGTTTTTTATTTTATTTTTTTTAGTTCTGTAGGTTACAATTCATTACTGTCACTATGTCTTTGCTCAGATTACCCCAGATTTGGCCATTGGGAACTCCTTTAAGTTGACTCCTGTATACTTTCAATGTGTCCCCTTTATTATTTTTTTTAGTACTGCCATATTTTCTGGCACCATGAGATGTTCCAAGCTGATATTGTACTTTTGTTACCCAAAACTGGGTTTATCTCTTGATGGGTGTCGATCAAAAAGACAAAACCAGGGGCACCTGGGTGGCTCAGTCGTTAAGCGTCTGCCTTCGGCTCAGGTCATGATCCCAGAGTCCTGGGATCGAGCCCCGCATCAGGCTCCCTGCTCCGCGGGAAGCCTGCTTCTCCCTCTCCCACTCCCCCTGCTTGTGTTCCTGCTCTCGCTATCTCTCTGTCAAATAAATAAATAAAATCTTAAAAAAAAAAAAAAGAAACCAAGATTAGATATACTCATTGCTTCTAGGTACTCTCAGCTATGAAGTATATATATCTGTACACACACACACGAATCCATATCTATCTGTATGAGTATACGGATAATCCATTGCTTCATATGCTATCTCTAATTCCAGTTTAACACCAGGGGGTTTATTCCAGCCTTCTCCATTTCCTTTTATTTTTTGGTAACTCCTTTCTCTGACAATGAAAAAGTTGACTCTTGGGATGCCTGGGTGGCTAAGCGTCTGCCTTCAGGTCATGATCCCGAGGGCCTGGCATCGGTCTGCGTGGGGCTCCCTGCTCAGCAGGGAGCCTGCTTCTCCCTCTCCCTCTGCCCTTCCCCGATGTCTCTCTCTCAAATAAATAAATGAAATCTTTAAAAAAAAAAAAAGTTGACTCTTATTAACCACAATATATTTATTTATCTATTTGCTCAGTCCTAAGTAGAAAGTAGTTTAAGAATTGCTGACCTAAAATAAGACGAAATCAGAGAGGGAGACAAACCATAAGAGACTCTTAACTATAGGAAACAAACAAACAGAGGGTTGCTAAGTGGGTGGGGGGTTGGGGTAACTGGGTGATGGGCATTAAGGAGAGCGCTTGATGTAATGAGTCCTGGGTGTTATATGCAACTAATGAATCACTAAACTCCACTTCTGAAACTAATAATACACTATATGTTAATTGATTTTAAATTAAAAAAAAAAAGAATTGCCAGCCTACACTCCCATACCTCATACAGTTATTTTTATTTTTAGTCTTAGTGAAAATACAGTTTTCCTCACACCCTCCTATATGGTAATGTTACTCATTTGTAATATAGTTGGTTCATTTGTTACCATTTGTATTTTATTTTGGATTTACACACATACATCCTGGTTGATTTTAATTATTTTTTGAGTACAGGAAACATTTTTTTTTTTTAATGATTTTATTGATTTATTTGACAGAGAGAGACACAGCGAGAGAGGGAACACAAGCGGGGGGAGTGGGAGAGGGAGAAGCAGGCTCCCTGTTGAGCAGGGAGCCCGATGTGGGGCTCGATCCCAGGACCCCAGAACCATGACCTGAGCCGAAGGCAGACGCTTAACAACTGAGCCACCCAGGCACCCCCAGGAAACATTTCTATGTTTCTAAAAGCCTTAATTATTTTTTTTAAAGATTGATTGATTTGAGAAGAGAGAGCACATACACGTGGTGGGGTGGGAGGGGCAGAGGGAAAGGGAGAGAGAGAAACCCAAGTAGACTCCATGCTCTCAGGGCTTGATCTCATAACCCTGAGATCACAACCTGAGCTGAAACCAAGAGTCAGATGCTTAACCAACTGTGCCGCCCAGGCACCCCTAAAGGCCATAATTAGACAAAAGATCTACCCAATCACTCCTCCACCATTCCTTCTCTCCCAATTCTATTACCCCATCCTTTCCACACTGTTCCCACTCATTGTAGGTAACCAATTTCATTAGTTTGTTGGGGTTTTTTTATGTTTGAATATACATTAAAATATACAGAAAATTTTAACATACATAAAATTGGCCACTCTATTTTTAAATGTACCATTCAGTGACATTGAGTACATTTACATTGTTGTGCAGCCGTCACCATCATCCATACCAAAACTTTTTTCATCTTCCAAAACTAAAACTTTGCTCCCATTAGACAATAACTCCCCATTTCCCTTCCCTCTAGCTTCCACCTTTTGGCTATTGTGGATAATAGTGCTACGAACATTGGTTAACAAATATCTGTTCAAATTCCTGCTTTCTCTTCTTGGGGGCATATACCCAGAAGTG